TTACGAACATTGCGAGATTCAATGAGGACGTTGACCGGACTGTCCGGGGAGTATGTGACATTCGACCAGAATGAACGAAAATGCAGATTCAAAATTTTAGAAGCTAGCCTTCCGAATTGGCAGTTTTGAAGGATTAGCAGTGTTATTGGAACGATTAGCCAAACGGTGAAGGCTAGAATATTCTGGAGTTTCAAATTTTTTAATTTTCGAACTATGACGTCATATTTCTGAGAAATGCCAGAAACGACCATTTTGGCGGAAGAACCGAAATAAAACACAACAATATTAGTTGCGATAGCGATAACGACGAGAATTGTGATTGGAAAACAACAACAAATTGCAGAAGTAGCAGAGACCGATCCGAGTTGCAACTATTGTGTCGCTACAATAGTTGCAAGGCCGTTGCGAACAACGGTGAAGGGTGGAAGAATCCGGAGGGGTCTCGGGACTGGAACTTTTATCGTTTTATACAAACTTTTAGCTTCCCTATTATGTCCTGAATTGAATTTAATTAACATCTGAATTCAATTTGCTAGGATGAGAAGCTAGGAGTTGGGGGAAAGGGTTGATCCATCTTCGATGGAGATGATGATTTACATCTACAATAATAATTCAATAAATAGTAGTAGCCCTGTTTTTAGGAGTGACCTCGTGGTCTGGGGATACTGAGACCCAGCCATGAGCTCACTACTTCTGCATGTAACCTAGTTAATTTGAGTGTTTTGACCGAAGCCGAAAGCAGTAACGTTTTTGTCGACCCGATGCTGGAAAGACCACCAAAAGAACTGGCTTGGTAGAGACGGTGAAAAGCATGTAGAGCTCTGTTTAGACGTTGGCCAGTCGTCTTAGAACCTAGCTTTATTTTCCGTCGATATGTATCTTCCGGGCGAATGTTACATTAATTCAAAGTTCTCCCGATGCTGCGGTCGTTAATTGCTAACAGAAGAGTCCGTTTACTTGAATCTGATTTCTCAAATCGGTAAATTGAGCACATCCTGATGACGTTGGTTTGTTCCATCCTTTTTTTCCAAGAGCAATTTCGCTTAATGTGGGTAGAACTTCCACAAGTGAACCAATTACGGCAGTTCTTTGCCAGATGAGTTTTTTTGCCCACATAGTCGACATAGTTGTTTTCTTTTCTGGGATTGTCACTTCTTTTGCGCGTATTTGGTTCTGGGGTGGGATTTCTTGCTCGGTCTCTTGGACCTTGTTCCCTATATCGGTTCACACCGCGTCGCGTTCCTCCCCAGTGGCTGTTGTTTCTTCGACCGTCACTGCTCCGGGCATTATTTTCATTATCAACCGACATCTGCTGAAGAAGTTCAACGAGTCTATTTCTCTTTCATCTCTCCGTATGGCTGCTACTCGTGGCGTCTGTTTAATTGTATTTACCGATTCCAGGTGAAGTGCCCGCTCTAAAGCTTTCACGATGTTCTTATCCTTGACCCCAATTGTCTTGCGGAGTTCAAGTCTAACTTGACCGTGGATCCCTTTCTAGAAAACCTCGAAGCACCGCGTCTGGGTACGCCTTCAGTGCCGATTGCTGTAAATCCCCCAAGAAATTTGTTAACTTTTCACTTTCCTGCTGTACGCGACGCGCTAGCTCTCCACGAAAACCTCCGGTTTTTAAATGTAAGGTCTTCGAAAGGCTTTTACGGTCTCGTCATAGCTATTTCTAGTAGCCTCTGGGAGGGTACGCTATAATTCGATAGCAGATATCTGCAACCTTAACGGGAACAAATGCGGCCGTTCATCAGTTTCGGTTCCACTTACAGTACGTGTCCAGTTTTGCAGTTCGGCTAATAGCTCAAAGTGTTTTACGTAGTTTTCAAATCCGTTAGAACCGGTGAATGCCTCCGGCAATAACAACTTGGATAACGAACTTGCCGTTGCCGTACTTAACTTCCACCCTATCTACTTATTTATCAAATTATTCTTGTAGTTGGAGTTCTTCAAGGTCTTACCCACTCATTTCAACTTAGAATAACGTTTTATGTCCATCCAACTACAGTTTATCCGGCGTTATCTCAGAAATTTTGTTTTACAGCTCGATTTTCTTCAACCTTTCGTTGAATTCGTTCCAGTTAATTTGACTTTTAAAAATCTCGTTTTCGTTTATCTATTTGTTGGTTTATGAGTATTGAGCAGTCTTACCTCATATAATATGGTACCATTGCACGACCTTCATAGAAAAATATAAGTAGCCAATATCATGTATTGTATTGAGGGAATTGCGTAGTTTTTTCGGCAATGGAATGCTGGTAATCGATCCGGTTTTTGAAGAAATGATTGTGCAGATGTTCTGAGGGATAGTGATGTGGAGCGAAAGACGGGTTTGTTAGAATACCTAACAGATTATGTTATCTGTTTTGTGCCCGTCGTGTAAGATAACATGGTGGTGTTAGCCTTCTTCGTCACCCTCAATCCGGCACTCCATTATGCAGTGGAGTTCATTATTTCACTCACTGAATTGACCAGATCAGATGCAAAACTCGAGGAGTACACTTAAGCTGATAGCGTTATTTTTGAGTTCTACAAAAAACGGGTCCGTGTGACCGAGTGAACTCATCGCATTTACATTGCTAAACAAGATCTTATTGACTACACGAATAGAACTGGACGATCAGAAATTTCAGGATCGAACCGTAAACATGCTAAAGAAGCCCTCGAAATTGTGTATTCCCGAAGTGAGAATGAAATGAAGCGCACGCTAGACCTGCTACAGCCAAAAGGAACATCCGCATGGCTGACTTGTCTGCCATCTAGGGAGCAGAATTTTTACATGAACAGAGACGAGTTCCGGAATGCGCTATGTCTCCGATATGGATGGCACCTGAAAGGAAAGGCTCAAATTTGCGAGTGTGGCGCAGCAAATGATATCGACCATGCCTTGATTTGTAAGCTGGGTGGTTTCGTCATAATGCGTCACAACGCTGTCCGCGACGTCGAAGCCGACTTTTTACGTAACCTGTGCAAGGAGGTGAGCGTTGAGCCCGGTCTGATCCAATTGACGGGAAATGAAGAACTTGCAAGTTGAGGAAGCAATCTGGAAGACAATGCAAGACTGGATATTTCTTGTCGAGGTTTTTGGGCGCCGCTGCAGAAAATGTTTCTTGACGTCCGTTTCACACACCCGAACGCTCCAAGTAATAGGAACCGAAAACTGAAGCCACTCCTAAAGACTCATGAGAATCGGAAAAAAGTCGAATACAACGACCGCGTTCTGCAGGTAGAGCATGCCTCTTTTACCCCCTTGATTTTTGCGACCAACGGCGCCATGGGTGAGGGCAGAGCGATATCATGCTATACTGGCGGAAAAAATGAGTGAGAAGCTGAACTGTACGTATGCGGACACTATGAACTATATCCGGAAGAAGCTCTCCTTCACCATCCTGAAAACTGCCTTGATAGCCTTGAGAGGACACCGGAAGAAACAGCAATACACGTCCTGTAGTACCCGAGACACCGTCATAAACATTTTGTGCCACAATCAATAAACATTCCTCATCGAATACCATTCCAGCATAAATTGTACACTTTCAGTATTTCTCTATACTTTATACCGATGGTTAATTCAAAACCTCTTCCCGAATTTAATTTAATTCCGTTCATTTCAACCCGATTCTTTCTAGACCGTTTTCATGCTGACTTAGGAAGTGGCTTTACGTTTAGCTCTGATCATTTCTTGATCGATCTCTATATCGAGACGCATCTCTGAAATTTTAAACATGTTTCAATCTCCAGCCATAGCTGAGTAAATGTTTGTGAGTGAAAAGTAACAGATTTATAATCGAAGCAATAGTTGAAATAAAGTTGAGAGTTTTGATTTAGATATTTGGACAAGCATTCGTGTATTTTTGAGCTTCATATTATTACTTCAATTTAGTTTGTAGACTTTGTATAAGGGGTGCAGATCGCTACGCAAAGTTCATTTTATCGACAACTCCATGAGCGCTATTGTAGAGGAAGGACGGCTAAGATAAATTAACATTACGACGATGCATTTAATGCTGGCTGGTGACTTTATTGCTGATATATATATGCGTTTTTATATCGCTGGTATGGCCCTATCCAGCTTGTGCACTTACCGTAACTAAACGGAAGGGCCCCTTTTGTAATTTAGTTTTTATTAAAAAATTTAGTTTAGTTAGTCATGTAAACATCTATAAATCTGAAATTGTCTGAGTTGCAGATATAAATTGCTTGTCGATAAATTGTTTAAATCATGTTCATGCTTCAACCATGATATGCTTTCAGCTCTAAAGGCCATTCGTGTATACGCCATAATTTCATTTCGATTCAACGTTCATTTGAAGTTTCATAGGTATTTAAAAATCAGATTTTTACCCTAAAATTAATCGCCAGAGAAGAATCAGTAAGTGTGCTTATGAAACATAGTGATAGTGCTACACACCTACCTTAGGTTATTTACCGTTAGTAACCTTATTGGATTAGTTATTAGAGCAGTGGAAGGATCTACTTAACAATCTCCCCCCCCCCCCCCCCTATGGTACCTACTTAAGAGTCTCCACCCCTATAAATAAATACAGTAAATGAGCACTGAGCTTTCTGTTGAGAGTTCTAATTTTGCTTCATTCTGATTGGTTGAAAAATCGACCATTTTGACCTACTTAACAATCTCCCCCCCCCCCCCCCCTTTGTAGAGATTGTTAAGTAGATCCCAGTGGAAAATCTGAGCGAACTGGAATCAGTCAGCTCTGAGTTAAATGAATAATACTCTTTTTTTTCTTCAAATTCAAAGTATAGAAAGACTCTCAAGAAAGGTTAGACATCGTAAAGCGCATCCCTGAGTCGAAGGTACTGTGATAACCCAATTGATAACAATACAACGACCACAGCGAGCAATAGTATATTGTATTAGGTCCAGCAGAGAAGTGTTTTTTTAGCATTTTGAAAGCTTGTAAAGTTTCTAATGGTGCAGGTAATTTTTTCTAAGATAACTTCGTCTTTTTTGCAATTTTTTTTAGTAATTTTTTGTCGAGAGAAACGATTGTTTTGAAGGTTTTTTCAATTTTTGATTTGTCTGTTCATTTGTTTGCTATTATATTCATTCATTTTTGTGTCGCAAGTGCTTCGAAGATCAGTTTCGCCTCTGTGTCAGAATATGCTACCTTAGTAGAGATATTCGCTTGAGGTGCTCTGAAAGCTGTATTTCCGTATTTTACCATGATACTCATCCAGGACAATCAATTTGGTTGATCACTCGAGCAGTGGACATCGGCAGTAATTTGCGTTTTAGAGATTGCATTGAATTGCGTGGTTTTTGGGGCCAAACTGATCTCTTGGTGGGACGAACGCGAAAATCACAAGTAAATTAGATCTACGAAGTCTACCTACTGTCTGAAAATGAAAACAAACATTTTCTGCTATTCTATGTCATTCATTGCCAGTATGGTAAATCTGAAATTTCTAGTACTTCAACTGTGAAATTTATGTTGCTCGGAGAAATAATAAACAACGAATGTGAATTAAGCGGGTACCAGTAAAAGGGTTTTTGGAATTAGTTAGACCCGGTTGATATCCTTGGGATCTTGGCATTTAAACTCCTGTTAAATTTGAAGCAGCTGTTAAGCTGATAATACACAGCAGACGGACTGTTTTATGAGTTCAGACTATAAAATACTCAGCATATTTGCCTTACAGTTATATACAGATTTGTTTTTTTTTATGTCTTGAGTGTCATTTATCATGGATTGTATGAAAGTTATCTGGTGATATATTTCCTTACAATAATCGTTAAGAACACATTTTCATAATGATTAGTTTGTTCTGTATGCTTTGCTTCTGCGTTTTAGGTGTTGTTGGTGAGTTTTATTTCCAAATATTTACCTTCCAGGTTATTGAGATGACATCATTTGTTTGTTACAATAGGGAAGTATTCGATTTTACCCACAGCAAAGATATTAGAGCGAGAGCTGTTTAGCAATTATCGGAGATTTGTGAAGCCAAGGGTAGATCAGAGCAAGCCAGTGGTCGTGGTATATTCCTCTAATGTGTACCAAATACTTGGAGTTGAAGCAGACACGCAGCGGGTCAAGCTAAGTATGTATTTTAGATTATAGAGTAGCTCCAACTTCTGTAAGATGGTAGTTAAATTTGCTAAAATGAACACCTTTTTGTCTATTTTGATACCTCATCTGAAATCTAACTGCAGGAAATGCTTTAAGATGTGTTAAGTTGTGAAATAGTTATTTATGCACTATCGGTACTGCTCTGCTGATTTAGATTTATGGATGCTACTTCTGTGGAGAGATGAGTTTTTGAGTTGGAATAGCAGTAATTATGGAGGCCTCCAAGGTAATAGCTCGGAAAATGCTCCATTGCGTAGCCTATCTCTGTGTTAAATATTTAATGTTCTGTAGAAATATCAGTGAACCCTGCGCGGATGTGGATGCCGGATATCCTAGTTGCAAACAGACAAGATGACGAGCCTCTGATTCAGAAGACCAATCAGATTCTGGCGGCAGTGAGTTATAAGGTAGCGTTAGTGCCACTTAAGTTCACTTTCTCTGGGTGAAATGTCAAATACAATCCATATAATCATTACTCTTGGTGAAAAACCTTAAGCGTGGTCTGTAATGCGCTATCGTAACGCGCTGTCGTAATGCGCGAAATAGAGACCCAGGATATGAAGATGTTGTTTTCTGCGCTAAACGCCAGTTTGAGATCAGTTGCAGGAATTTCGAATCCAGTCAATTTATTTTGCTCGGTTGTATGAAAAACAAGACTGCTCGTATATCAGGGCACAGCCCTGAATGTTTCGACTATCCCTTAATTCATATCGAATAGTTTTCGGTAAAAGAAAATATTGAAAACCTATAAATTTTGGACAATATCGAAGAGTGAAATGGTGAGTCGTATGAAATTAATACGGCCGATCCGATTAGCTAGCCTCCATTCAATTTGGAACGATTTTGTTGTGCAAAGGATAATTCGCCACGCATAAATAATTCGCGTTACGCTCTCAGCGATATGAATAAATTCTTCAAAGCGCGCATAATTTAGTCCAGAACATGAAAAGTTTGGCAATTTTCAAACCCCCAGAACTTTACAAAAAATAATCGGAGGTACAATATCTTTTTAAATTTGAACTCAGGAAGTCGATATCTTTAATGGGGTATAAAAAATGTTTGTTGAAAACTATTATTTCGATCGGCGAAAATTGAAAAAAACCACACCGAGCATAAATTTACTTCGAAAGTCGTTACAGAAATTGTTTCTCACTAGAATCAAAGTTGATTTACATAGTATGTAGTAGGGGCGGCCGTTTCTCTTTCATTATATATTGGAGCGGCAGTTTTAATTCGGTACAAATGTGCAGCTTCTTCAACTGTTGGTAATGCCGTTTCGAGTTTTGAGTGCAATTATAAATATGTTACTACAATTGCGAAAACAAGTGTCTTGTAATCGGGAACTAGACCTTTTTCCCGTAAACAACTTTTATTGCAAATCTGTAGCTAGCATATTTTTACTTGCTTTATATTTGAACCTTCACAACTTCCAGCCGCTTTCCTTCTTGGCCTAGAAGTAACGCGGTTACCTTTCCACCGTACGGTCGGGGGCTGCAGTTTTTTCTGAGTGCTGATAACAATTCAAATTAGACTACTGGATTCTTAATGGGTATAAATAAAGTTTTTGAATGAAACTCACTGGGATTTTTTTAAGAGTAATGAACGTAGTGAAAACTCTTATAAAGGTCTTGCTGATTTTTTTTTAGGAAAAAGTCGTAAAATACTGATGCACTTGGGAATATATGCACTTTTTGAGTTGAATTGAAATTCATCTGCGGAAAGTGACCTAAATAGCACTCTCCAAATACGAACGTGGAAATGGCCTAAAATACATGAACGATTTCTAGTTTCGAAAGTGGAATTTAATTTTTAGATTTCCAGCGGATTAAAAACTTTACCTGTTGATCCAGTTTTCTCAAGTTGGGTTAATTTTATCAAAAAGCGCTAGTCATAAATCGTTCTAGAAATTCAAATAATGTAAATGGCATCTATTTTTTCTTTGAAATTCAAAAGTTGAGATTTTTTAAACAAAGTATTTTTTTTATGTTTACTTGCGTTCATTACTCTTTCCAATCTTCGATTGGCTATGTTTTGGGTTAGTGGTTTTCGTTTCACTTTACATCGGCTTAGCTTTCATTTTTTGAAATTCCAGCTATATTATCCAAAACTGTGGTATTGATAAGTTAGACCGCGTGGTTTCTGTTGCCTACTAACCAAGGTTGAGATAAAATGTCGGATGTTATTTCATTTCCATTTTTTTTGTCATAGTTCTTAATTTGAACTATTTGAAACGCCAACTGAATTATGTGATACAGCGTGTAATTACAGAGGTTTTAAGGTAAGGATTAGGCGGTTACTGTTTTGGTCTCAATCTAACAAGAATGGAATAGTTGAGCTCAGTGTAATGTTTTTTCTTAAGATGAATTTAACAAACATTTTTGACGGAAATTTTTGTACCAGCTGGAAGATACAGTAGACCTAAGTCTTGAACTTTCAGAATTGAGTGGGAAGAGATATGACCTAGGGTGGGTTTCTTATCCCAGCCGATTTTGAATACCTCAGAGAAAGCTCGTGCGGGGTTCAAGGGGTTCGTGACGCTAAACAATAACATTTTTCCTGCTTAGGTTGCGTCCATCGTACATATCTCTTTGTTTGAATTATCTATAAGTTTCTTCAGTGCATAAATTCAAATACACATTTCTAGCACCGAAGAGAATAACCGACATGCAAAAGATGCCTTAATTGGTTTATTTTATCTCAGACTGACAGCCAATGATAATGAATTTCAATCCTAAAAAGGTATGTCTATAGACAACATCAAAAATGAGTTGCCTACTGCTTTATGATAAAGAACTGTTATTCAATCAGAAGAAAATTTTTTATTTTTGATTATCAAAAGTCCGTAATAGTCTTACAATTTGAGCACTTAATTTAACTGCAGTAGGTGGGTTGGGGCTAATTATAAGATCCGTATACGAACCATAAAACACTCGTAGCAGCTATTTGTTTAAAAAACACCTTGAATTTAAACGAAAGTCACACTAATTTGGAAACAGTCTAGGAGATATAATTTATGTGAGATTTAAATGTAAGGTGATCGTCAATATAGAGACCAAGATATTTAAAGCATTTGCAATGCTAGCACCATTCAGTATAAAATAAACAGGTGGGCTGATTGTTGATAGGTTATCAATTGGCATTTGTTGATCTTAGTATTCAAAGTTTTTTAGTGGCTGTTGTTGTTAGTTGCCCACAGGGGGCGCGTCATGCGTGCTTGGCCCGAGTTTAAGGAACATTGCTACTTTAGTGGCTCTCAACCAGTACTAAACTTGGGCAAGTTCTATCTGCAGAATAAAATCGTTTGAGTCAGATATCAGAGCGGTTTCATCTCGTTGAATACTTACAAAATTGTTACACATTTGGTGCAGGTCATTGATTTTGTTTTTGAAAAAAGTTTCCAACTTACAATTGAACCTTGAGGAACCCCTCATTTAACCGGCAACTTATCTGAGCTATCATGGCCAGTATTTCTAACTGATATTGATATGTTAGTCAGCTTTTTACGAGACTTAATATTGGACCCCTTTTTAGTCGGGAACTAGAGTTTTTTCCCGCAAACAAATTTTCTGACAAATCTGTTAGTAATTGTACTTGCTTTATCATTGAATTTTACTAGTTTCGATTCGGTCTAGAGGTAACTCGGTTGGTTTTGCACCCTAAAGTCTGGGGTTGGAGTTTTTTCTGCATGTATTTTTTTCTGGTTTCTATGCATTTTTTCCTGTCTGCTCTGTAGGGCCATGTATCGTATCTTCGTCCGATGGTTGTGACTGTGCAGTGTGACATGGACACTAGACACTTTCCTTGGGACCGGCAGCAGTGCAACCTCATAGTGGCATCCTGGACCAACTTTGAGGACGATGTCAAACTCGAGAAACAAGTAAGAAGATATGTTCAGCCCTGTGTTATCCTCTAAGACATAGTGTGGTTATTGTGGTCGGCAAAAGAGCTGGGAAGTAATCTGAGTAGGATTGATTTAATTTGTCATTGATAAATCATTGTTTCCTCTGGCTCTAGTGTGTTTATAGTGAGCACGCTTGTATTTAGAAAGGACCAGATGACGATTTGATAAGAAGGAGTGAGCACCACGAGTGGACCCTGGAGCCACAAACGCCCATCTTCAGGTCACTGGAAGTGTACGACTACGTGGAGCAACAGTGGCGAAAGAAGAGCTTCATCCAGCACCAGATCAACTTCCACAGGAAGCCCGGTTTCTACGTTATAGGTTTGTATCTAAATGGAAAAGCTTACGTTAGTATAGTATATAAATGAAAAATGCAATAAATTAAGTTGAACTCGGAAAAAACGTAATAACTACATTGAACGAATGCTAGAGAAGCCAAATACAGATAGAATACTTCGCAATGCACCAATGGTTTTATGAACTGAAAAGTGAAGAAGACAGAGATACGTTTTGACCAGATACCCGTTCTGTCGTGACAAAGGAGTTGAAAAAGGACTTCGACGCTGGTGTTTTTCAACAATGCCGGTTGCCATGACTTGAATGAATTGAAACTAGTCTTGGCCGATGCCGTTTTTGATGCAACCATGGAAGCTCTGAATGCATTATCACTTTTGCAAATGATTTTGATTTGTGCCATGACTGATAACTGTAATACCATGCGGGGTGTTCATGGTGGGTTTTGTTGCGAAAATGAAGAATGTTTGTCCAAAAATTATAGACAGAGGTCAAGGGATGCAGTTCATCAATAGCGGGCAAGACCATTCATGTGTTACGCTCAGGAAACGATATGATGGTTGGACCAGGTTTCATTAAAATGAAACTTTTCGAAAAGGGTTGTCGTTGCAATCTTCGGCTGGAGATGTACAATGCATATCGTGTTATCGCCGACAATTTTGAGTGGGATAACTTGAAGATTTTGATCCCCTGCGTCTGTTTTGGAGAGTATCAAAGCGTCCCATAAACGCTAAAGAGAAGAAGTCGATAAGGTCAACGCGGAGAAAGAATAAGCATCGCAGAACTCCGCGGGTCTTTGAACAGAATTAAATGTTTTCAAACGAAAAGATAACAAAATACTTGAAAAAGAACTGAAGTAAGTCGAACAAAATCCTGGAAAAAGAACTGAAGTAAATGGAAGAAGCAGAACGGAAACTCTCAGAAGTGAAAAAATGAACAACCCAGCTCGAACTGTCGAAAAGCGGCGCTGTGTTCAGACTCAAGCAGGACTCGAATAATGTCAATTCTTCAATGCTTAAATGAAGAAATTCATTGAAATTCAATGTTTGGCGTTCAAAACTTTTTTTTTAAATATTCTAGCTTTCGTATGAAACAGGTCAGCAAAAAGGTCAGTTTTAGTTTGATTATGTTGGTCAGCATTTTGATGTGGTCAATAAAGTTATCACCCTGGCATGTTATATTAGCATTTTAAAAATCCGTCCTATTCGAAAATTGCTTTTTATAGGTTGGTTGTCTTACCAGCCTGTTTTTTTGTTTTTTTCTTTGCTTTTTCCAGTTTCATAGGGTGTTTATATCGACAACGGTCCTAACTACGACTTGAACGTCTCAAGAAGTTTAAATGGATCAACAATGATGAAGTTAGCATGACAGAAACTGTCATTACCGGATTAAAATAACTTGTAATTTGAACAATACACTAGTTTCTATCCAAAAGTGGTATTTAGAAAACAACTTCCTCCTTAAACGAAGATAAATCCAATTTTAAAGTTAAACTTCAAACCGAATGCAAAACTGCCGCCTGTAAACCAAAAAACATCGAAGTAGTCGACGAGATCGAAGTTCTGGGTGTCACCATAATTTAAAAAAATTATCGTTTTGCCAGCGTTTTCCATTCAAGAGAGATTGATGTTATCATGCAACAAAAAAGAGAGGCATTTGACGCTTTTTTATGTATCTTTTTTTTTCAACTGCTTATGTAATGTCTGGTCGTAAAATAATCTAAACACGTTTTTTTTTCGGTTAAAACTATCCCATATTTGTTTTTAATCGTTGATTCAATTGCATTTCAAAATTTAGAAGAAAAAGAAACACAATAGTCTGAAAATCAATACCTTGGGTTTAGTTGAAACGAGAAGATCAATTATGTTGTTAATTCGAAAAGTTTGATGGGAGAAAACGTAGCTAATTTTCCATGATTTGAATATTGGTGATATCTTAAACTATCCTTCACGAAGGGATATGGGGCGTGTAGTAACGAATCCCCCCTTCCTATAAAGAACTAGTTTAAGGGTTAAGCATATGTGAATACTGAACCTAGTAACGAATCTCAGCCCTTTTGCGAAAGGGGGGAGGGGAAGTTTAAGAGATGTGTGAAAAATAAGCCTCCAAAACCTTCTAGTTTTCGAGATATCGCGTTTATTTGAGTTTTTTGAAACTTTCTGAGTAAAAAACAAATTTTTCTCGGTGTTTGTTTTCATCTTAATACGATGTAGTCCATTTGATTTATTGGGTGGAAAACTTTTTTGAGTTTTTTCTTCAAATTTTAATAACATTATTTTGGCAGCTGATTAGTGCGGTCATGATAGTGATTGATAATTAGTTTCTGTATCTGCTTGTCAATTGATGAAATTTAAAATTATTTAACTTGTTAGAAATTCATTCAGAAAAACAAACATTATTTGTTGCTATTTGTTAATTTGATTTGTTGTTATTTATAACATATTTACTTGCAGTATATGGGCAGACGCTTGGTGGATTTCATGATCCCGTTGTCTGTCCTCTCCAGATTTTGTTGCATTATGTATAATTTGATGAGAAATAAGTTCCTTCTTTTATCCGCCCGAAGCTATTGCACCCTAGGGTATATGTACCGGTGTTGTGTTTCAGTGATCGTGATTCCGACTGTGGTAATCAGTGTGATCTGCATGTTTGTGTTTCTAATACCAAATGGCTCCACTGAGAAGATCGCCTACAGCATGAGTATGATGCTGACTCTCTACGTGAATCTGCTGACTGTGGCCAACCGCATTCCGAACAACAGTAACAAATATCCCTACATTGGAGTGTACTATCTAGTCTGTATATTCCTTATTGCCACGTCTCTTTTACAGGTGAGGAAGGGAGCTGGATCAAAACTTCGTGCAATAAAGATTAAGATATAGAACATTTAAATTATGTGTGCGTTTGTGTTTGTTTTGAGTCACCGATCGCTTTGCAAGTAGCACTATAAATATGATCCTTTAACATTGGATTTATTAGATGCAGATTACTCAATTATCCAACTTTTCCAACTGCTTTCCTTTTCCAATCCAACTTGCATAAAAAAGTGCCGTTTTGGTGAGTAAATTTATTGGCAGATTAATATCATGTATTCTCCGCTTTTTCACTGTTTAGTGTTTCGGTTTTTAAGCGTCAGTAGCACATTTGAGGGCAGTCAATTCCGATACTCGAGGCCTGTGGTTCGACTCCCGTCGAGGGCATTTACTTTTCAATACTCAATTTTGTTTGAAAAACATTGAAGTTCTCGACTTCATCTAAATTTTTTCTTATTTTTGGAACTATTTTCTTCAATTATTGTGTTCGAAACATTCTGTGCTACTTCATGCAGTGCACAGTCATCGGCTATCCGTGTCATGTTTCGTTGTGAATAATAGCGAAAGGAAGCAAGAACAGATCTGAAACTAAGAACATGACAACGTTTTCTGGTGGCTAAAAATATATCCTTAGGATGTTTCTATCCATATACAGTTATGATCAAAACTTTTGTTTCGGTTAAAATCTTGGGCGGGCTTGAGCTGATATTGTTATTCGTTTGGTCTTCGCTTGGCCGGAAAACAGGTAAACGTAATTCTCTGGCACAAATGTCACTTCGAATTCTCTAATATAACTTATAGCTACCATTGTGACTGCACAATCTGAACAAGCCGCCCTCCCTAAGTTATACAATTTTAACTAGCTCTAAAGTATTGGTTTTTATAAGAAAATGTCTTCAAATTTGTAGAGCATATAGCTTTTTGCGGCGGCATGATTTATGGATTTGCGCTTGATCAAGTTTAAGTAAGAGCTTATTTTAACGAATGTGATGAAGCATTAAGAGTCGAAAGGGCGTGGCGTGGTAATAAATGGACCCAGTAGCGGCTTTGACATAAATTTGTAAATCTCAATGAATATGAAGTAAATTGATTGCTGACTTTGATATCGGTCATGGAAGGGTTCAAGAAGCATTTGACTCTGTTGCCAGGCGTATGCTTCACCCTAAGTAACATTGGCATCAGTAATCTGACAAAACTCTTCGAATTATTTAGAAAACTTGAACTCTCAACAATCTGAACTTTAAATTAAAGGACTTAATTAAAAAAAGACGTAAAATAATGATTGTGTTTTGCATTCTAGTCGACCCTTGCTCTGACGATGCACTTCAAGAGTGTGGAATCTACCAGGGCCCCCATGTGGCTGAGGAAGAGAGTACAGTGTGTGGCATTTGTGGCCGCCAGAGTGGCCTTTGTGAAACACCTTATGCCCCTGGATCTTGTATACTTCATGGACGCACAGGACGTATTCAAACCACTGCATCCCAAATGGGAACTGTGAGTTCAGAATTGGCTGCATTTGTCGAAAATGGAGCTTTTAATTTGAAACTGAAATTATTTTTGAAATAAATACATACATAACAAATATAAAATAAATACATTTATTGAAATGATTTTCTCAAAATTGTTCAGTGTAATTTATGATCTTAAAAGCTTCATTTTTTGTTCGAAAAGTTTTGATGCTCTCTTGGCACCCTTAAATTTCGTAGTGAACGATTATTTCAAGTAGTTAAAAATCAGGTTATCCATTTATTCGATGCTAGTAGATTCAGTCCAATTGAAATGTATGTACGAACAGCGAAAAGTTACTTGACTGTAATCTTTCTTGAATTTTTTCAGGAAAAGAGAGGAGGATGCGAATAGAAACAAGTTGAATAGTCTGGAAAAATCGATTAAAAGGACTTTTTTGCAGTTCGACTCACTCCGCTATGGTCTGGACAAGTCCTGCTATAAGAAGCGCAAGCACATTCAAGTTGTAGCCGAGTGGCAACTGATCGCAAAACTCATAGACTTCGTACTCGGCATCTTTTACATAACTGCTACATTGTTCATTAATGCATTCATTATTCTGAAAGTGTCCAGATGCTTATAGAAATATATATTATTTCATAAAAATAATTTTCAACAAGGTTTAGTTAATGCCAAATTTTTGGCTATATCAGTGACATTGAGCCACTTAAGCGGTTAAAAAACGGTGCTTCAGTTATTTAGGTTTGCTGACATGGTTATTACAAATTATTGATTTCCGACGTCAAAATGAACAGTGTTAGGTTAAATCTTTCCGTCAGATTCTTAGATTGAAAATCATATTGCCAACGGTTTGGCATTAATTATAAATTGTTCAAACTGTTGATCAAAGTGAACTTAAAGTACCGAGAACTGTTAATGATAAGTTTAGCTGAGGTTCAATCAGCTAGAATATCGCATTGCATCAGCATTTATTAAGAGTCGGTGAATGTAGTTAAAATGCTTATTTAGGTCGTGGTGATTTTTTTTTTCATTTGTTAAGAAAATTTTTTTAAATGCTATAATATTTTAAATAAACACATTAAATGCTGTTATATTTCATAGAATTGTATTCATACATTAATATTTTTATGGATGCTTCCTGGTATCTATGTACTATTTGAGTTCAATTCAATTTCATCTGCTAAAACACGTAAGTTGCTCCCTCCAAGTATGGAGGTGTAAAGGTCACGTAAAACGTGATAGACTTCTAGTTTCAGAAGTGGAACTTAATTCTAAGATTTCCCAGTGCAATAAAATTTGATTATTGGTCCAGCTTTCTCAAATTGAGTTAATTTTATTTTTAAAGTGTCAACCATCAGTTAAAATTACAAGAGCTCTAAAGCCCTATTTTTTACTTTCGTTTTTCTGTTTCCTTGCGTTCATTGATTCTTTTCCTTTTGTCTGTAGACTGTTTTTTCTGGAGGTCGACCATTTTTATAAGACGTTCTTGCTTAATTGCTTTTTTTTAAACTGCAAGGTAGCGTTGCAATCTACAGGTTCTACACAAGCTAGTCTATGTCTTAGTAGGCTACATTTTTCCAAAAAAACATAGGATTTTTCTGTTTAGTGTCTATTTAAAAATTGATGAACGTAGGGAAGATTCTGATGTAAACCGTGAGAATTTTCAGGAAAAAGCCTTAAAATTTGACTTTGATAAGATTTGGTTTTTCTCGCTAACTATCCTACCAAATCTGATATCATAAGTTTAATCGTAAGAGCAGCTTGTTGAAAGCCTACCTTAAGAACTGACTATGACCAGCTTGTTCAAGAAAAAACTTATGGCCTCCAAACAAGTCCAAGTTTTGAAAATTTGACAAGGTTTTGGAAGCTTTCTGATTTTACGCAAAAACTACCGTGCCAAATCTCAGATTGTGTTCAATCGAGAAACCCTGTTTTGGGAATATTTTCTGGTTAAGCGGCCACAACCTGATTGTTGTAGAAAAAGATCATGGATTTAGAAAAGTCTATGAACCGTTTTTTAAGAACTTTTGACTGTTTTTTAGAAAATTTTTGATATTGTTAAATCAAATCAGATATGAAAAGTTCAATTGAAAGAACGATTCAATAATTATTCCTGCTGAATGGGCGACTCCGAAAGTTTTTGTTAGAGAAGTTTTATCTCCTTATGAAAACTGGATATCTCAAAATTGTTTATTCTTCTCACTTATTTTAGTAGAGAAATAACTAAAGTTTTGGGCAAAGGCCAATTTTTGAAATCAAAAATTTTTTGTGCCGCGTCAGTATACCAAAATCATTCAATATCAAACACGTACCTTAGGCTTTTAACGGGTCCCTAGTTGTTTTTTTATCGAGAGGTAAGAATTTTTCGGTTCAAGTTTTTTTTCACCATTTAAATATTCGACTTAAGTTGATTCTCATCTTTGTGTTGTATTGCAATTTGTGCGAAGCTCCGCTTTGCCTCTGTCTAATTTTTAGATTTCTGAGCGCATATTGATACATTAATTTCGAATTGGAAAAATGTTACCTAAAATAGTGTCAACCATAATTTGTTCTTGAAATTCAGAGAGTTTTAAGCTCAGGTTTTTATGTTTGAAACTCGAAGTGTCTTTATGTTTTCAAAAAAAGTTTTTATTTATGATCTCTTGCTTTCATGAGTGCATTTCATGACAATTTAGAGAATTGTAGTTCAACCGTTTGTTTCTAATAACCAAATCGAAAAAAAATTATGCTAGTCAGTTATGCGCAAGTATTATTGAGTTTTCCGGCCATCGTAATTTTATCCTATTTTTTTAAAATCAAAAACTTTCGTAGATTTTTGGCATCATTAGTTGTCTGATTTTTTTAACCCTGTTAAAATTAAACTAGCCTTAATATCTTGGTTTTCAAATAGTGAATACTCGTTATGGCAAAAGGTCTAAAAATAGTCGCCACTGAAACACAGATTGAACAGCAAAAAGAAAACAGACTTGTTCTTGACACTGCGAGAACTGTTTTGAAATATTTTTTCAAAATCTGAATCCTTACCAAGAGAAGTTAAGCATGGAACATCACTTGACTCCTCGCGAGTTTGCGCTGAGGTAACAATTGGTGAAAGTGGCAATGAGAGAAGAATTGAACTCGCTGCAATTCTGTGACGATGGAGTCTGTATCGTCGATACGATGCTAGAAACAAAAAGTCAAAGTTAATTTAATTCAAAATTTGGATTTTTTTTAAATTGAGTTTTGAATGTTTCCACCAGTTGACTATACCCGCTCATTTAGTGTCGTACAGAGAATCCATTACATTATTTCTGCGCACTAGCTGAGAAATGGAAGCTTCTCTTTGGGTTCCAACATTTAATGTGGGCTTTCCATGCAGTGTAAGTAAACTCCGTTGAGCTACTACTCTATCGCTTGGGTTGCCGGGTCAGTCATGCTGAATAAGTTTAAGTTTCTCTTACGTTTACAATATTCTGTGCAAGCTATTTACACATTTCTATGCCTTTCTCAGTTTCCTTCCTATGTCAGACTACTTTTAAAATGATATTGCTGTTACACTTGTAGAAATAAAATGGAAAGTGACCAATAGATGAGCTATCTCCCTACCAAAAAAATGGCAAAACACAGCAAAGGCGTTATAGTTTGGTTATGTAGCATGCACTCAAGGGGCCAACTGTAGCTATTTTAATGTTAATGTGGAAAAAAAAACTGAAAAAAAGCATCAATACTTATTTTGTTTTCTTTTTTGTTTAGGCGATCATTGCTGCAAAGAACGCATAATTCCAGGATTGATGGCGCTCTAATTTTGTATCTTAATCCGAGTGCTGAATGTTCCGACTGCCCTTTATGATCTATGGAGCAGTAATAACATGAAAAATTAAAGTAATAGGAAAAAATTAAAAGAAACAATCTAATAATTTGATTTTTTTTTGTGAAATCATCCCCCCACACGCCATATAAAAAACGAAGTGATAGGTTTCGCTCCTATCACTGGCAAATAAGCTTCCTTCTTACAATTTGGAACGATTTCTAGGAGAGATTAAATCTCCGCTTACGCGTTAATAGCGAGAAATATCGCTCGTTAATTGTCCCAAATCAGCCAAAATGGCAATCTTTAAACCCCAATAACTTTACAAAAAAAAGATCATGAGAAATTTAAGCTCAGGGCAACAATAATTTTTGAATGATACAAAAAAATTTCTGTCCAAAATGGCTAGTTAAAAATTCGAAATTTGTCTGAAGAAAAAACCCACCCGAGCTCAAATATTCCGTTTTTTTTTTCGTTATGAAAGTCGGAACAAAAACTATTTTTAGTTTGTCGAATGCAATGAAAGTTTGCATGATGAACAAGAAACCAATAATTTTGAACATAATTGTTCGTTATAATTTACATCGTAACATTGTTCTATAGCCAAAGTAATACGTTAACCAATTAAGATAATAGAAAAGATTCAATGGGGGTGGGCTGGAAAACAGCCTTTAATTGCTGATTTTTTTCTACACTTATGACAGAAAATCTGAACATTCTACTTTTTTCATACTGAGGTAAATGATTGGATTTCGATATGCAAAACTTGGTGTTCCACATTTTTGAGGAATCTGGAGCATGGTTTCAAATACTTAAATCGACTTTCATTTGCTTATAAATAAGCACTTATTAAGCTGTCTTGACTTTTTCCTCCCCCTATAAACCATTTTTCGCAAAAAAAATTTTTTGGTCTAAAAGTCAGATTGTCACAAAAAATGACGGCTCTTTTCCACTCCCAGTACATTTCAAATTTTCAATTTTTTTTTCAGTTGTCTTACATATTATTATGCGTGAATGCGTGATTCTACGATGAAAAGTATAAAGAACAAATGTTGTCACAATAGTTATTTTGGAGTCGGAGCAAAAAGCAGAATGGTTTAAGAGCAGAATGCGTCCAAGAGCAGAAAAACAGAAAACTAATGCGGTTAACTTTGAACGAACCTAGACTATGCTCAAAGTTAGCTCATGAAAAATCCATATTTCTCTCCTAAATTGGATTTAAGTTTCATGCTTTTAAAAGGCGGGGAAAAGAAAAAGAGAAAAAAACCGATATTTACCGGGCTCCCCTCACCAACCTTGCATAAGCATCAATTTTATGGTTTAACGAGGAGTTGAGTATGAAGACCAAATATATTTAGCATGGATACTTTTCCAGGCTCTTTATCTCCCCCCCCCCCCCCCCCCCCCCCACCTCACTCAAACATGAATTTTATGGTCTAACGAGTGGTTTTACAAGGTTAATTATGAAGACTAGTAAAAATTTGCAGGTGGGGGGAAAAGGAAAAAGAGCCCTTTTCCACTCCCCCCCCCCCCCCGCCTCTCATTTCAAACTTTCAATTTTCTTAATTTTTTACCTGTTATTATGGCTGAATGCGTGATGTTACGATTTAAGTTACGAAGAACAAATCTGTTCACAATAGTTAGCTTGTTTACCATGCAAAATTCCATTAAATTATGACCACGCTAAAACTGATATCATATATGGGGGGATTGGAAAAGAAGCTTGCCTTGGCGCAACTAGTCCGCATGCCAATTTTGGGCTCTTTTTCCTTTTCCCCCACCTGCAATACGGACTAATTAAGCCATGACAATCATATTTGGTCTTTAAACTCAACCTTGTAAAACCACTCGTTACACCATGAAATCGATGTTTATGTGAGGTTGGGGGGGGGGGGGTGGAGAGCCTAATTTTGTAAGAATCGGACACTGTGAAAGAATAAATTAATTTTGCAATTTCGCAAGTGGGGAGGGGTTGGTTGGTAAAGAAAAAAAGAGCCCTATTCCAGCGGAAATGGGGGGTCGTTACTCAATTGATTGCTTTATATTACAGTTGCCAGACCAGTAACAAAAACTATGGCTCTTTTTCCTTCCCCCCCCCCCCACCTCACGCTAGTTTCAACTTATTAGTGTAACGAGTGGTTTTACGAGGTTGAGTATGAAGACCAAATATGTTTGTCGTGGCCTTATTGGTCTGTATGTAAATTTTCATAACAATCAGACAATGTGGTCAAAAATTTACATGTAAAAAATTGCAGGTGGGGGGGGGGGGAAAGGAAAAAGAGCCAAAACTATAACCACCACAAAAGGGTTTTGGCTATGGATACGTTATAATATGTTGGGGGGGGGGGGGGGGGCTGCAATTGGATATAGCCGAGTATTTAAAGTCACGAAGTTAAAGTTCTTGTGATTCCTTTTGGAACTAAATTTGACATCTGCTTTGAATGAACCGCGTCTTTTAGAAGTTCCCCATAACTTCAAAATTAATTCTCGGAAGAAGAACGACTAAAATGATATGGAAAAGCGTAAGTAAATTTTGATTTTGTGGGTTGGGTCTTTGAAACTGAATATCGTTTTATGGAAAGATAAAGGTTCTTCAGATTTCCAGAAAATTGTGCAAATTGATTGATGAGCTAAGTTAACAACTCTAAGCTAGCTTTTAGCTTTTCCAATCCCGTTAGAGTGAAACTCGTGTAGATCAAATAACCTTGACTTTTTTATACATTTATATTTTGTTTTTCAAAAAAGAGTTTCGAAAAAGATTTTCTCTCCCCCCCCCTCACCCCACCTCACACGAGCATCAATTTTATGGTCTAACGAGTGGCTTTACAAGGTTGATTATGAACCAAATATGTTTGTCATGGCCTAATTAGTCTGCATGTCAATTTCGGACATGTGAAGAGTAATTTTAACTATAAAAATTTGCAGGTAGGGGGAAGAGCCAATTCTACAGTTTCCCACTCCGTTTGGTATACTAAAACCGGATTTCCTAAAGACTATTTAAATTGGCTTATCATTTTATGTACATCATTTTATTTCTGCCTCGTTTCGGTTCTGAGGTAGATCGGTTTCGAGGGAGTGCGGTCTGTATTTAGACCATCGCGTATTCATACTCGTCATTATTTAGACAAATACTGTATGAACCAATCAGAATCGAGATAAGACATAAATAATCCAAAATAAATAATAATTATTTATTAATTGCTTCCTTGTCTCGATTCTGATTGGTTAACAGTATTTGTCTAAATACTGACGTGTCTTCTGAATACGCGGTTGTCTTAATACTGCTACGTAACCGGTTTCGAGTAGCTGGCTGATTGACAACATTTCGGGGGCTACTCTCATGCGCGAAGGACCGAATGAGCGAAAAAATTCGTGAGCGAAAGACCGAAAATAAAATTTAAAAAGAAGCAATTGCCATTCAATTAAAATGAATTAAATAAAGCAGTATTTTGCTTTTTCCATAACGAAACCCTTGAAATATAAAATTTGTCTAAACTTTGCGGCGGTCAATGACAATTTGAAAATTTTGCATACTTGCAGTTTGTATATTCGGCCAATATCAATACTCGGCTCTTTTCCAGTTCCCCCCTTTTCAAAATACCGAGTTTTATGTTTGTTTTACGTGTTATTACGGCTAAATACGTGATGTTACGTTGTAAAGTATGAAGAACAAATCTGTTCAGAACTGTCGATTTGTTCACCACGCCAAATTTCATTGCATTATGACAACGTTACATAGACTTTTCAAAATTGAATTAACTAATCTTTCAATATTAACACTAATGGCCTGGGTTTATTTTCTTACTTTAAGATTGTCGCTATTTACTTTGAGATTTTGAATACTCAATTCTGATTTGCTGAAAGTAAGCTAAAATTAATTTCAAGCATTCGTTCCTTCAAGCATGAGGGACGCCACCATATTTTTCGGTATTTAAAAGCAGAATTCAGTCATAAAATACGTTAAATGAAAATATTGATGAATCATTTTTAAAACAGCGTCTGAACAACTTGTGAACTTTGTTTCGATCTTTCAGTTTTCGACTTTTTTCGGGGCAGTACAACAGTGCCCAAGTTCAAGAGTGCCATTAACAAATTTATTGTTCAACCTTGCCGAAAATCATCAATTTTCGGCACTGTTGAATACTTTTTCATTTTCGGCATTGTTGTACTTCGGCACTGTTGAACGCCCCCTTTTTTCACACACCGTTCTTCGTTGATGTACGAGTTCTAGGGAGAAGAATTTAAAGTAAGTCAATGTGAATGTGATCAGATTTAAAATGTTTTTTGGCTTTTTGCCTCTCCCCACCTGCGAATTTCCACCTGCATATTCCAAAAATCGGCATCCAGATCAATTCAAACTTCTTAGGTCCTCATAGTTAACTTTGTAAAACTGATGATTACGTAAGGTTGTGGAAATGGAAAAAGGGTCAATGTTTGTTATATGCAAATTGGGCTCTTTTCCAGTTCCCCCTTTGATTTTTCTGAAATTATTTTGATTAGAATCTATTTAAAATGACTTTCCATGTTATAAACTGCAAAAAAATATGTCAATGTGAACAGGTGAACAAATTTTTACAACGTTTCCTAGATGCAAAATGCCGTGTGTACAATTTTTGGACAGTTTCATTTTGTAACTTTACGAGGTTGGGGGCGGGGGGGGGGGGGGGTGTGGGAAACTGGAAAAGAGTCGCAAATTGTCATTTGAACAATTTACATGCAGTTTTATATCGCAATTTGGCTTTTTTCTTTCCTCCACCTCACAAGCATCCATTTTGGTATCGCTAGAATTCGTAGCGAGAAAAACCAAAATCGGTGTGTGAAAAGTCAAAAACTGGAAGACAAAAACAAAGATCACAAGTTTTTCAGTTTCATTTTGCGTATTTTATGACAAAGAATTCAGCTCTTAATTACCGAAATTTATGGCATCTCGTTTTTCTTTGTTGACTTGTAAGTTCCGATAATTAAGGTTAATTTACGTATGAAATGAAATGTTGTTGATCAGCCAGCTGCCCGAAACCGATCTACCTCGGAACCGAAACGAGGCAGAAATAACTTAACATTGATTAAGAAGATCAAATTTGTTTGTCATAGTCTAGTTAGAAGAGCCCGTAACTTAAAGAAAAGGGGTCGCGGGAATCTGGAATGTAAATAAGACTTGAAGTGTTTTCAACTATTTAGATACAGAATGTGGTGGGGTTGTCGTGCGTCTACACGTGTGTCCTGTTTGTGTGTCTTCTGCCGGGTGGAGGGGTTGTGGAGGGGGTGCGGGACTTGACAATTGTGCCTGGACAGATAGGCTGTGAAGTCGCAGACATGGTCATCACCAAAATAGAGGAGTTCGGAGTATTCACTGTCAAGTGAGTGGTCACTAATCAACATCTTATGGCATTAGCTGTTTTCCAACACCCACCCCCCTAAAACTGAAAATCAAGATATCAATCATTTTACTCTTGCGATTAGCAAGGATATTGTATACCCGGGGGCTCTTTTCCAGTTCCCCCCTTTCAAATTCAATTTTGAAAAGCTTATTTAACCTTGTCCCAATGCAATGAATTTTGGCGGGGTGAACGAATCGATAACTGTCAACATATTTGTTCTTCATACTTTACAGCGTAACATCACGCATTTAGCCGTAATAACACGTAAAACAAACATAAAACTCGGTATTTTGAAAGGGGGGAACTGGAAAAGAGCCCTTTATTAAAAGTAGGACAATTTATTTCATTACGGGCGAAAAATTTTACTAGAAAAAAGAATCACGATTTTGTGCGTTGGGAGTGAAAAGATTTTGTTTGTGCTCACCGCGAGGAATTTCCCGATAAAATTTTAATAAGAATCGGACAATGTTATTATTTTTATGAAATTTTGTAGATGGGAGAAGGGGGAAAGAGGAAGAGCCCAATTTTCTCTCGTAAAAAATTTTGGGCTCTTTTCCTATTCTGCTCAATTTATAAAGTAAAAACAAAACAGAATCGGTTTTAAATTTACTAAATATGATCGAAATAATGTGACTACATTAAACGTATCAAGCCAAAAAAGTGGGGTTGAACATGCGCTGATATGGTGATTTGTGATTTTCACAATGAAATCATATTCAGTTCATGCAGTTGAATTAACAGGAACTCAATTGCAAACCAATTTTCATAAAGTATTATCATTTTATGTTTCATCAGGTTCGGCTCAAATAGGATTCTCAAATGAAACGACTTAGGTGAGAATCGAATCCAGGCCGAACTCCGTGGAACGCACCATGTATACGCTAGGCTATACTGCTGGTATTTACAAGAGACTATACTGATTTTATGCTATACTTTCAACTTAATGCTATGTAGCATTAACGTTTCCACTTACCCCAACCATTAAACATTCCTAAATTAGTTTTTTGTTTTACGTGTAAGTATGGCTCAACGCGTAATGTTACGATGTTAAGTGTGGAGAACAAATCAGTTCACAATTTTCAAATTGTTCACATGCCAAATTTCATTGCATTATGACACTGTTAGAGAAGTTTTGAAAACTGAAATTCCGAGGTGGGTGGAAAGAAGAAAAAAGCCAAACTTTGTTCATAGAGCTCAACTGGACTGATTTTCTGGACGCATCTTTTGGCTACTTATTTACGACATCCTCTTGAATTGACTTTTTTTGTGTTTGTGTTAAATTTACATACTCATTGTGTAATTTTTTTTAATTTTTGACTTCATAATTTTCGGCTTACATTACAATGGCGGCTCCTTTGCAATTTCGCAAAAAAGACAAAGTAAAGCTGTTCGAAAATTGTTCTTATGGGATTTTGCATGAAATGTTGCTAAAGCTTATTCACGTTTTACTGCAGTTTATCACATGAAAATTCATTTTGAAAAGACTTTTAGGCTCTTTTCCAGTTCCCCCCTTTCAAATTCAATTTTGAAAAACTTATTTACTGTTGTCAAATTTCAATGAAATTTGACGTGGTGAACAAATCGACAACTTTAATCAGATTTGTTCTTCTTACTTTACAGCGTAACATCACGCACTTAGCCGTAATAACACGTAAAACAAACATAAAACTCAGTATTTTGAAAGGGGGACTGGAGAATAGCCGACTTTTATAAATTGAATTTGAAAAGAGCCGTATCGGTTTAGTGGCCTCATGCTGCCTTGCTTAATGACGAAAACGTTTTTGCAGGCTGAAGCTGCTGGTTGAGAGCAAACTGAATTTCATATAAGTGTCACTGAATGTAGTGATGATTTTTATAGAGATTGTGTTGAATAGTTTGCCTTTTTTTGTTTTTTGATTTAAGAATGCTTTTTCTTCTAATTAAATTGGGAACTTGACTTTTTCCCGTAAATAGCACTTTTATTACGATTTTGTGAAAAATTTAACTTGCTTTATTTTTGAACTTTAGAAACTTCTAGTCTCCTTCCCACTTGGTCTGAAGGAACGGCGCTTGTCTTAACATCCTAAGTTCCGCTGTTTGAGTCCTGGATTTTGTTTCAGTTTGAATGAACCTGAATTTTTTTTCTGCGAAAAATTGCGTTGTTGGCCTAATGCTTGTCTGCATAGGTTTTATCGGCTTCGTTGCTTTATCAGGAATGTTTCTTTTGAAGTTTTCCCTGCGAATGCAAGTATTGTTGATTTTTCAAGTAATTTAAAATTAACTCTCCCTGGCTTTGCGTATTTACCTTTTTTCCTTTTGTTGTTTTTTAGTAAAAGGTTCATTCGGCCCACCTGGTTTCGGCTCACTCATATTGTATAGGTGTTGTCGACTAATATTAAGTCAGTTGAAAAAATAATTTGGTTTTTCTGTTTTCGGCTCAACGTTTTTTTTCTGTTTTCGGCTCAACGGTCGTCTACTCGCTAAGTGACGGCTCGATAAAAGGTAAAAACGGATAAAGCTGGTATTTTCGACTGTTTTTTTTAAATGTAAATGTTCATTTTGTTCAACATTTTTTTGGCTTAGTTGTTTCCTTCTCTGTTGGTTAGCTTGCAATGCTATGCTTGCGTTGCATCATAAGTGATGCAAAGCTTTGCTTCGCCTCTGTGTCAAACTTACTTTTTCATACGCAATAAAGCATGTCAGCGTGATTTAAAGAGCAAATTATTCTAATCCAAATTCCCTCTCCCTCACTCATGAAATTCAATTTTGAAAAGTTATAATTTTTTCATATTGCGATGAAAGCTTGCATGGTGAGCAAACTAACTTTTGCAAACCCATTTTTTTCATGTTTTACATCAAAACATCTCGTAATTATAAATTACGCCATGATAACAAGTAACACAAATATAAACGTGATTTTACAAGAGCGTAAAGTGTGAAAACTTTAAAAGTTGCTTGAGCTCAAACTTGATCTCTCTCGGCGTGACCTTTGATTACTTTTACACTAGTGGTCAAAAATAAACGCAAATTCAGGCTGTTACTTGCTAAAAAAGTTAACTTTAAGGGCCATTTTGGAAAATTTTTAGCATTTTTCTTACAGCGACCGACAGCAAATGATCTGAAATACATTCTACAGTTGTCTCAATTTTCACTTGAAGCACTTGCCACTTTTTCCGGGTCTGAAATTTCCAGTTTTCATCATCCGCGTTACGTTTTTCAAATTTCGTGAAATTGTAAGAAACAACTGAGTTTAGTAAAGTTGTCACACTAATTTTTTCAATTTTCTTGTTGAAAATTTTTCACGCGCATGAACAACTTTTTTTTACTCCACTTATACGAGAAATAGTTAACTGCGTTGCAAAATCTAGCGCAGACGGTGAAAACTAGCCTTTTCAGACCCGGAAAAAACTGGCAAGTGCTTCAAAGTAGAACTTGAGACTTCCGTAGAGGGTAGTTCAGATCACTTGCTGTCGGTCGCATAATAGTTTTCTTAAAACTCGAAATAAATATTGTCCAAAATGGTCCTTAAAGCGCTTAATTATGTCCTCTAGTATAGATACTTTGATAGTTTTTGATGACTTTTGATTTTATTGAAATTCATATGTTAAAAGGATGGCAGGCAAATTACGTTCTTCTTAACTCATGTAAAAATTATGCGGGGAAACGAGAATGACTTGTAGCTTTGAAAGTGGATTTGAACTTATAGGTACTTCAGCGAATGAAGAAAGAGTCTATTGATCCGGTTTTTGTTTGTTTAGTCACCAGTTTCTGTTGAATCGCATTGCGATGATGACGTCATTCGGAGCTAAGATGGTAGACAGGAAGGCAGCCGGGATCTGGAGCATCAATATGGCCATGTTTGAGGCCAGTCTGCAGATAGTGAACCAGGACAAGTCACTCTCTGTCAGGATAGAGGCCAAGTTCTGCATCATCTGGTCCCAAGTCACATTTGATGACATGAACAAGCCCATATACTCCGGACTGGCAGCTATGATACTAATTGAGGTACTTGAAGTTAAGGGGAGGAAGTTGAAAAGGGGTCATTGTACATATGGAATTGGACCATCCAATTAGTAGGATCAAATGAATAATTTAACCAAAGCTAACCAAAAGCCAAACCTTTTTAACCACCATAACCTAAAATTGTAACTGAAAAATTATGTTTTGAAGGAAATTTTTTCAGCTCTTCAGTTGCACTTTAGTTTATAAACTGAATCTGATTTTACATTGCTCTGTTTAAAATGGCTTATAATATGGTTTTTATAATATATGTAACCTATCCTTGATGCAAATTACCGTATGGAAATCTTTATTTTTTATAAAGAGTCGATGAACGTAGTTAAAACTCTTGGTGATTTCTTTTTTTTTTCATTTTTTTTCCGAAAATTTGTTCAGGGCTCAAATTTATTTTTTCGCGGTTTGGCTTTTGGTCTTTTTTATGTTTACTTCATTTCTTTTGTTAAAAGGAAGGCACCGACCACCAAAAGTGTAAAAGTCGCAAAAACGTGATCGACTTTTAGTTTGGAAAGTGGAATTTAGTTTTCAGATTTCTCAAAATGGGTAAATTTATTCACAAAACTGGTAATCATAATTTGTTTTTAGAGATTCAAAGAAAAAAGTTTACTGTCATCTATTTTCTTCTTAAAAATTTCAGAGTTCAGATTTTTTCAAAAAATAAGTCAATATTTCTTTTGTTTACTTGCGTTCCTTGGCTCTTTTCCAACGGTCTGTTGGCGATTTTTTTTGTAATTTTTCGAGATTTCCAGAAACTAAAAAGTGCCAAAGTTTTTGACTATTCGATCATTCAGTTAGACATATCCGATGAGGGTGCATGTAAACTATTACAATTGTACCATAAGGTTTATCTGAATCACAATATCCAATATTTTTTTTCGTTCAATAACACTTATTTATTCTTATTTTCTTTTTTAGGCTGGAGTAACTTTCAACAAAAACATGATGATATCTGGAGGGGTAATTTTTATATATTACTTTTTTACAATTTCGTTTCGAGTGTTAAATTTATTTCAATACTCATTTCGTTTTAGCAGCAAGTTGTTCCGCCATACAATCGCTATCAGGTAAATTACTTGAAAGCATAATATAATAGCAAAAGCCAAAAAAAATTTAATAAAATATTCGAAGATAAAAAGTAATTGATGTATTTAGAATCAATTTAACTTCTGGAAAGTTACAGCATCAATGTCAGCCTCGCTCTTGTAAGTTAAATTTCTGGCTCCATGTATTACGAGAAAATTGCCTTTACTGTTACGAAATTTACATTCAAAATTTCAGTTTAAGATTGACATCGAAACTTAGGTTAAAATCCATTTTAACAAATATTGTGGACCAAGTGAACGATCTCTCTCTTACTGTTCCGAATTTCGTAGCGAAAGTAACCGAATATTTCTGCTCGTGATGGTTTTTTTTTCAGACAAAATTCGACTGAAGGAGATTGTAGGAGATTGTTCACTTGGTTTATTCAGGGGAGATTGTTCATATGGGCCAATCTTGTTTAAAAATAAAGTGTCTGTAAAATCGTCGACTCGTTTTTTTTATTCTGGTTCTCTTTGTCGACTCAGATCGATCGTGGTCAAATCATCTATTGATTAGACGGCTCATCTAACGACACTGATCGATTATCTATCGAACCCTGATCGACGCAATGATGGAACCTGGTCGCAGGGGCGGATTTATCGTACTAATTCAAAAGACATTTTTTTGTAACAAAAACTTGTGGCCTGACTTAAAGTCCGCTTTAAGTAAGCGTCAATGAACAAAGTGACGACATTTTTTAAGTGGCAGTTTTTGCTTTTTTTGGAAAATGAGCTACAGTTTTTTTGCGGTTTGATTTTTGTTTCCTCTTGAAGTTCAATTTATTACTTTTTCCTCAAAGGAAGACAAAAAAATGCCACACAGAAAAAAACTCGAATGACTTCAAGCTTCCAAGTGGGTTAAATTTATGAAAAATGTGTCAAAGTGCGACTTTTTTCTTCGAAACTGAAGTGTTCAAAAGAAGTCGATTTTTATATTTTATTTCAGTTCTCTTGTCTTCATTGACAACTTTGGAAAAGCGCGTAAAATCAAATTCAGTTCAAGGCGTGGAAAATTCAACGCACGTCTTAAATCCACCAACCTGTTGAAGTATTAAAGCAAAAAGGTGTTACTCACTTTCTGAGCTCACTTGATATTATGGTTTAAAGTTATGACTCTTTGTCAAATGATAAAAGAATTGAATCCCGATGGGTTCAAGTTTGTAGTTCGAATTAGATAAAAGTTAGACCCCTAAACCAGAAAATCCCCCTGTACTTGGAAACCGGTATGGGGGGCGGGGTAGGAAAGAAACAAATTATTTGATATTTTTGTCTCTATCACATTTCAACAAGTTACAACCCTACGATGGAAAACCAATTAACAATGCATCAAAATGTCGACAACTTAAGAAAATTGTGCCGACAATATGACACATAAAAATCTACGATAGCGTTATTTCAGACAGACGTTGAACAGAATTTATAAAATCTGAGACATCGTAGGAGCTAGTTGTTGTAGACTTTTTCATTAGGTTTTCGTTTTTTTCTCGGGTTTGATTGGTGGTGCCACTGTTTGCTTTTAAAAATTTCCCAGCTTTTAGTTGAAATTTTCAAGCTGAAATTTTTCTAAAACAGTATGAATCGAGCAGTGGCTGCCCTGGAAAAGCAATGTAACGCAGCTAAGCTAAGCCAGCCTTAACTGCATTGGTTGAACGATTGAGAACTACCGCCGCTTGTTCGTAAAAGAATCTATAGAGTTGGGGAGAATAAAGGATCACGCTATGGTCGAAGAATTGTTTCTCTTTTAAGGTTTTCTCAAAATATGACCCAATCTTGTCATTTTTTTTCGAGAATATCAGTTGGAATGTCGAACTCATCAGTAGGGGCGCAAATTTTGTTGATGTCTAGATCAAACGCAGACCAGACATCAGAGAGGAAGGAACAAAACTTAAAGCTGGGATCTTTTTTAATATTGAGGCTGATTTAGCATTGTTTTTGTAGGTCTTTTTCAGACCTTACTTTGAACTTTTGCTATGAAAATGAAATTAACAACCTTTGATTTCACTGTCAAATAGGGACAAAAAAAACATTCCAGTCGTTTTGTTCGAAAACAAAAAATTTTTCTGTGCGATTTCCAAAAGAGCTAATCAGATCTTAAAAAAATTGTTGTGGGTCGAACCTATTTGATGCAGAGAAAAACCGAAACGCAGGGGAATAAAAGCCGCCAATCTGAATATGTACAGTGTTTATTTGATAAAATTGAGATTGAAATAGCTTAAAAGTTCTGCAACAAAGCCCAGATTTGCCATGGACACAAAAAACGTTTCAGTTTTCCGTGTCCCCGAGAAAATTTAATCTCTCGTTGTCATCTTTTCCTCTGATCATTTGGTCCAATGGCAAATATTTGTCTGGAATTGCGAAGTGACGGTCTGTCGGTGGAATCACTTCGAGTGGTTTTGCCGTTTTTGTTCCGGCTGAGTGTTCTTGTCAAGGCTGCGCGTGAAGGAAGTGAAAGCTGAGCCGCCGGGTTTTTGTTCACTGTCTTGAACTAGCTGCTGTCAAATGGTTATTTGCTATTTGAGATTTTGCGGTTTCTTTCAGCTAATTAGCTAGCTGCCATGCATCTACGCAGCCGGGGTTAAATTCATGGCTGTGCTCGTAATTGAATGAAATAATAGTTTCGTTGCAAGTTATAAGAGGAAAGAGGGGAACTTTGCCTGTGACCTAAAATTTCACCTAATGATATTGGTTAATTTAATCATAAAAGTTTCAGTCATAAATTGATCGAGAAATTCAAAGAGCTTCAATGACATCTATTTTTTTATTAGAAATTCAAAAGGTGATATTTTAAAAAAATGTGAGTTGGTAGTATTGAAGTAAATTTGTATTACAACTTAGTAGGGAGGAAATATTTTCATCGAAGTTTGAAACAGACTTTAGATTCGTTTGCTTTTATTCGTAAATAAAATGAAAGTCACAGGAGTCGGTTGAGCTATATGATCTTTATTTTTCCAAAAAAATTTTAAAAATAATTATACTGAGGCTTGTGATCTTTGCAGACCAACTTTGCCATTTTGTTGAAGTAAATTTTACGCGTTTTTTAAAGTTTATTCTAAGTACTGAAGGTGTCTTTTTTTCTAGGCTGATGTCAACATGAAAAAGAGCCGCTTTATTCATACTTTGCTTAATTAACTCAAAGTTTTTTTTACTTTAGTGGGCGGAACCTTATGGGGTATTTGCACAGCAACCGTTTACTCCTCGTTTAAACCCAAAGTTTTTTAGAATCAACTACAAGAACTTGTTCATGCAGATCTCTAAAAAGTGGGACTTGAGCCTCTTCGGCAAAAGCTGCATGCAGTGTTCTCTCCAGTCTGCCGATTTGACCTTTGTCATTGACGCATCTTCAAGTATAGATGATGAGGAGTGGCACTATGTGCAGAAATTCATGATGAAAATGGCGACTCTGTTGCCGGTTGGATTGAAGCAAAGTCAATCTCGGATCGGCATAGTTTTCTTTCATAAAAGGACACTTGTGTATGACTACATGAAAGTGAATGAGTACATGGAAGCGTACAGTGAGAGGGATTATGCAATGAAACAACTGTTTCGAAGTTATTACAAAAATGGGTATGGGACTTATACGCACAATGGCATTGATTCGGCCAGGGATCTGATATTGAGGGGCAGCGGAACCAGGTAACTGTGTCAGAAATTTTCGCCATCCCTAACAAAAAAAAACATTGGGAAAAACTTCTGTCTGGGGAAACTCCCGTCTCAGGAACTGGAAGTTGTATAATGATGTTTAGAATTCAAGTGTAAAGGTTGAGGGAGAAGTACCGTGCTTAAACCTCTACCGGAGCTTAATTTCGTTCCTATTCTCGAGTTCCAATTTTTCGAATGCACGAAAGAGTTTTGAATTAATCAAAGTAAATGCGTGTGTCCAGGTACGGGGACGACACTGTGAAACAAGTGATGGTGGTCATCACTGATGGAAAGAGCAAGAGCGAAACCAAACTGAGAAGCGCCATGAACAAGTTCAGAAATGTACGTCCAGAACTTGTCTATTTTGACGAGAAACAAAAAACATCAAGGATGAGTTTCTCAATTTACTAAGCATATCATTTACTTAAGAAATTAAATAAATGTCACCTTTTTGATTCTTTCGAAAATGACTTATTATTTCAGGTATAGAAAACCTCACCTAAAACTAGAACAGCAAACGCAGTAAAAAATCATTAGTCAAATCTAAAATTTAGGAAGTGAAAGGAGTGCATGTGTTTGCTGTGGGTACAAAACGATCAGCAGACGAGGACGAACTGAAGGTGATGGCCGTGAAAGATGAGAACGTGTTACTCTACCCGAAGCCGAAAGAACTCTTCAACGACGTGAATGGGCTTCTTCTCAAGATATGCCGAGCCCCTACTGCTGTTCAGTCTAGACCCACGCTACCAACTGCCAATGATCCGTCCAATGGTGGAATAGGCCAATACAATCCAAACTACCACTTCAGGAAGAAGTTTGCTATCAAGAGTGCCTCGGTGGGCGCTGGTTATAAAATGGTCATGAATTATGACAGAGGCAGTGCTTTATCATTTCAAATGAGTTCGTCTTTTAATATGCAGGCTTTCTTCTCGTTTTCACATTCTCATCCGAGCCTATCTGACAACGATTTTCAAGCGGTGGTCACGCCTGGTAAAAAACAACCCGTTTTTGTCAAACCACCCGAGACATTTATGTGGGACATATGCCAAAACCCGCCTCACGAGAAGCCCAATTTCCCTACTCCAATAGACGAAATTGTTATCAGAACAACCACTTTAAAGCGCACTGAAACGACCTCGCCAACCGAAACCACATCTCCTACCAAAACGACTTCGCAGACCGAAACAACTTCGAGAACCTGGTCTTCGCCAATAACATCATCGACTAGCTCGTCGACAACATCTTCGACTAGCTCGCCGACAACATCTTCAACAACGTCTTCGACAACATCTTCAACAACGTCCTCGACAACATCTTCTACAACGTCCTCGACAACATCTTCAACTACGTCGTCGACAACATCTTCAACAACGTCCTCGACAACATCTTCGACTGCCAGTAAACCCTTAACTCCTTTTCCAAGGCCAACAACACCAAACATGGGGCCTACATACCCTATTTGGTGGACAACTGCACCAAACAAGGGGCCAACATATCCTAATGGGTGGACAACTGCCCCAAACATGGGCCCAACATATCCTAATTGGCAGACAACTCCATCAAATGTCAGGCCAACATATCCTAATTGGTGGACAACGACGACAAAGCGACCATGGTGGGTTGTAACAAAAAATCCAGGGGCTACCACAAAAGCTGTGTCTACTACCCGCAGACCAAAAACCAGCACTTTCACTTTCCCAAAAACGTTTCCAACCACCACCAAACCGACGGACCCAGGGCAAGATTCGAACTCTTGTGGCTGCCTGATCTATATTGTTATAAAGCCATGTTGGAGTTGCTCTCCTGGACAAGTCCACCAGAAGTTCCAACACTTGCTAGATCAAAACTCCGTTAAATTTGGACGTGTTAGACGAGAGAATAATTTGAGTTTGCGCTATGGATCGGAGATTGGTTTAAACTGGAGAAATGGGAGCAGAGAAAGTTTAGAAATGTCGTCAACGATTGATGATAATAATGTAGGCCTTGAACAAGAAACAACTGAAATGACTGAAATGGGTTCCAATGCCATCATTGACGACGATTATGATGATAAAAGCAGAGCCGTGTATGACGTGGATGAAAATGCCGAGGATGAAATTGAAATCCCGAAGACTTTTAAGGAAGAAAAACCCAACTTTGGCAACATGCAGAAAATAAAAAAGCTCAGAAGGTCAGATGAAGAAAGCAGAATTAGGAGGAGACGACAAGCCAACGGATGTCCACCGGAACCAGAGCCATGTCTGGACATGTTGAACACAGACCCAGACGATTTGAAGTCAAACAAATCAGCTGATGTGACTATGGATTTAATAACCATGGATGTAAGTGATGTTAACAACTTGTTAATCAACTATAAGAATCAAGCCTAAATGTTAATCGCAATTATTTTAGGCACATCGTGAGCGTGTCAAATTATTTGTTACGCTACTTCTTTTCATCGGCTGCCACTAAAAAAAACTCAATTTTGTTTACTAATACGTAACTATCGCCGGATATCATCTATGCAGGACATGGTTTAAAATTCATGAATTTATTCAATTAAAAACGGAGAAATTATCTATGCTGGATATCCCCGCATCCAAGTTCAGGTTTAAGTAATCGATTATAACGGGTTTTCTGCTAAGTTTTTGATAATTATGATTGATTCTAATTACCGAAAATGCATGTTTAAAGGATTTATAATCTATTATAATTGTGATAGTTTCCAAGAGATTATAATATCTCATAAATATTTACAGTTGATTATGGTTCAGACAGAAAAAAAATCTTTAAATTCTTTATAATCGCACTTAAAGTAAATATATACTTTTTCCTGTGTTTTAACTTTTTTCTGTTAATAACCAACCTCTAAAAAATAAAGGCCTGTAATATCGTTTAATCTGAACACCAAGTGTTACCACGAAACAAAAGAAGACATCCCTTCGTATTAGTTGAAAAATCATATTAGTTGATATGTTTTCAAATCCAGAAGAAATGAAAACATACAAATTCATTCGAATTGATTTAAAACTGCAAAAACGATTTTTTTCTCTTTTTTTACTAGAACCAACGCCTACAAAAAGCATAATTTATAAGCAATTTAAATGCAATATCGAAGATGAAAAGGGCAAAAAAGGATATTATAATCAATTAAGTTGCAGCTTTTGTGCAAACCAAATTCATTTGAAATCAGGATGTAAATATTTAATTACAATCGATTATAATTGAATCAAAAAATAAAAGTACTAAAAATTGATTATAATTGACTGAAATAAGTTAAAATTCAATTAAAATTTGTTTTTAAAGAAAACAGATTATAATTGATTTTATTTGATTATATTAGATTTTTTCTCAATTTAATTAAGACCAATACTAAAGTTAAAAATAATTGATTATTAAAGCTTTAGTTTGGATGCGGATGGTTTTATAATTCATGAATTTACTCGTATAATCCTGGAGAAAAAAGGCGACGATTAAATATAGTGACTTCTACGGTTTTTTTCAGATATTTCCTTTGGGTGGTTACAAATGAACGCGTGCACTTAAAATGATTTTTTTGCTTTACAATGATTGCCGTAAATTTAACTTAACGTCAATGAAAATTTTCAAAATGATGGGGTTGTTCATTTTTCATCACTAGTTGTTCAGGGTTTCCATTTACTGCAAGGCGGCTACAAACTAAGTTTTGTAGATAAACAATTTTGAAATAATGACTTTTTTTTGGATTTTTTTCGTTTATTCAAAAACTACAACACAAAATCTCAGATAACGGGTTCACTCGAGAAATCGTGTTTTAGGATAACCGCTGCATAAGCAATTTCGGCCAGTTTTGTTGATTTTAAAAATATATATGGCCATAAAAATTGTTCATGAAAATTTGACCGTGTTTTGTAATTTTGTCGAATTCTATAAGAACATGCTGCCCAAAAAAACAATTAGATAAAGGTTCAATCAAAAACTGGGGGCTGGGATTTTTTTCGCATTGGGGTTACGCATTAATTTTATAGAAAAGCATTTTTGTTTTGAGCAAAAGTCCATTGTGCGAAATTCTGACCAATTTTTGGAAGTTGTTTTTTTTTCGAAAATCAATATACCGGAGCTGATAACAAAGGGATAACTTTTAAGCATTGAAAGAATAAATTGAAAGAGTATCTCCTGCATAAAGCAAACTTGCCGCATTCTTATAGGGAATGGCTATGGCTTGAAACAAACTTCAATATTCGACCTTCTCACCCCTCTATTGGATTGTGTTAAATTTCCCGAAAACGACCGTCCTAAATCTGAGATTGAGAAAAAATTCAAGACTCCCCTGCAAAAAAAAACAATCTTTCGTTTTCTTATAGGGAATCAACCATGACCTCGGGGGCAAATTATCTATGCTGGATATCCCCGCATCCAAGTTCAGGTTTAAGTAATCGATTATAACGGGTTTTCTGCTAAGTTTTTGATAATTATGATTGATTCTAATTACCGAAAATGCATGTTTAAAGGATTTATAATCTATTATAATTGTGATAATTTCCAAGAGATTATAATATCTCATAAATATTTACAGTTGATTATGGTTCAGACAGAAAAAAAATCTTTAAATTCTTTATAATCGCACTTAAAGTAAATATATACTTTTTCCTGTGTTTTAACTTTTTTCTGTTAATAACCAACCTCTAAAAAATAAAGGCCTGTAATATCGTTTAATCTGAACACCAAGTGTTACCACGAAACAAAAGAAGAAATCCCTTCGTATTAGTTGAAAAATCATATTAGTTGATATGTTTTCAAATCCAGAAGAAATGAAAACATACAAATTCATTCGAATTGATTTAAAACTGCAAAAACGATTTTTTTTCTCTTTTTTTACTAGAACCAACGCCTACAAAAAGCATAATTTATAAGCAATTTAAATGCAATATCGAAGATGAAAAGGGCAAAAAAGGATATTATAATCAATTAAGTTGCAGCTTTTGTGCAAACCAAATTCATTTGACATCAGGATGTAAATATTTAATTACAATCGATTATAATTGAATCAAAAAATAAAAGTACTAAAAATTGATTATAATTGACTGAAATAAGTTAAAACTCAATTAAAATTTGTTTTTAAAGAAAACAGATTATAATTGATTTTATTTGATTATGTTAGATTTTTTCTCAATTTAATTAAGACCAATACTAAAATTTAAAAAATAATTGATTATTAACGCTTTAGTTTGGATGCGGATGGTTTTATAATTCACGAATTTACTCATATAATCCTGGAGAAAAAGACGACGATTAAATATAGTGACTTCTACGGTTTTCAGATATTTCCTTTGGGTGGTTACAAATGAACGCGTGCACTTAAAATGATATTTTTGCTTGACAATGATTGCCGTAAATTTAACTTAACGTCAATGAAAACTTTCAAAATGATGGGGTTGTTGATTTTTCATCACTAGTTGTTCAGGGTTTCCATCTACTGCAAGGCGGCTACAAACTAAGTTTTGTAGATAAACAATTTTGAAATAATGACTTTTTTTTTGGATTTTTTTCGTTTATTCAAAAACTACAACACAAAATCTCAGATAACGGGTTCACTCGAAAAATCGTGTTTTAGGATAACCGCTGCATAAGCAATTTCGGCCAGTTTTGTTGATTTTAAAAATATATATGACCATAAAAATTGTTCATGAAAAATTGACCGTGTTTTGTAATTGTGTCGAGTTCTATAAGAACATGCTGCCAAAAAAAATTAGATTAAGGCTCAATCAAAAACTGGGGGCTGGGATTTTTTTCGCATTGGGGTTACGCATTAATTTTATAGAAAAGCATTTCTGTTCTGAGCAAAAGTCCATTGTGCGAAATTCTGGAAGTTGTTTTTTTTTTCGAAAAATAATGTACCGGATATGATAACAAAGGGATAACTTTTAAGCATTGAAAGAATAAATTGAAAGAGTATCTCCTGCATAAAGCAAACTTGCCGCATTCTGATAGGGAATGGCTATGGCTTGAAAAAAACTTCAATATTCGACCTTCTCACCCCTCTATTGGATTGTGTTAAATTTCCCGAAAACGACAGTCCTAAATCTGAGATTGAGAAAAAATTCAAGACTCCCCTGCAAAAAAAAACAATCTTTCGTTTTCTTATAGGGAATCAACCATGACCTCGGGGGCAAATTCAGGAATCAACCGTATAATCAATACCCCCCCCCCCCCCCCCCCCCCCTAAGTGACGTACCGTAGAATGCCCTCCCCATGCATGTATTTAATCTGATTCTGTACAGAATATGCATTTCATACAATCGAGCAAATAAAACTGATTCTTACATTTGTATGCGGGATCGCATTTGTATACTGTTAATTGCCTAGACCCGATTCGAGGTCCCAGACTCATGTCCACTCTTTCGCGACAAAATTTTGGCATGACCAGACCAAAATTAGTCATTTCCAGACTTTCGCGACCATGATTATCCGTCGCGACTTTCGCAAGCGAATCGGAGGTGGCGCGACAAAAAAATCGCGACTTGTATTTGTTATGTCCAGACTATCGCTACCAAGTTTTGCTATTTCAAGATTTTCGCGACTGAAAAACTCAGGCGCGATTTTTGCAACCAAGGCGGATACGGCGCGACCCTGCGGCTCAGGAAACGGCGCCACCAAGCTCAACCGTTTCCAGACATTCCAGACCGAGATGGAGACGGCGCGACTGAGAAAAATGTTTTCAGGGCTTCCGCGACCGAAGTGGAGGCGGCGCGACTCAAGAAATGTCGTAACTCAAAAAGCAACGGCGCGATTAATGTTTTAATTCAATTTTTTTTCAGTAAAACGATTAATTTTGGATATTTCCTGGCTTTTCTCAAAGTTAGCTTATGGAAAATTCATATCCGACCTAAATTGATTGGGGGTGATCCAAATCCAGTTTTTTTGACATTTTGACACACTTTTTAAAATTTTGCACTACCTTTACCATCAAAACAATAATTAAAAAATTAGGAAAATTGTTCGTCTAGCTTAAGTATGGCCCCTAGCTGACGGTAAAAACGTCAAAGGTCAAATAAGTAGAGAAAGAAAGATTTTAAGGTGAGCAATCAGAGACTCAACTGTCATTTTTACTGATTTTCATTTGCTGACTGGAGTTAAAACGTGCACAATTATTTATAAAATTTTACTTCGAGCTTAGGCTCCCTAAAACTTGCCTGGTAGAAAAAATAGGGTTTCAACCAAATTGCGAGTAAAATGGGCTCTGCTCTCTGTTAGTCAATTATAGTGTGAAAAAAGTATAAAGATTATGGTGAACGCGGAAAAATAAACCAAAATTACAGGTTTGACGCTAATTATTGCTGATTGCGAGTAAATGCACGTAAATTCTGATTGCGAGTAAATGTGAGGACAGCTCTTTCGTTTTCAGAAAGATAACTCTATGGCATTTTTGTTTTCAGAAAGAGTTTTTAACGCGCAAGTTTGATTTACGAAAATTTGACTTTTGATATTTTCAAGTTCACTGCTAACTCATCCAATAAATAAAATTAACAAAAAAATACAATAGGTCTAAGAAAAAGGTTTTTAACTTTAAAATACTAGGTTTTAGCTTTCAAATTTAAAAGCAGACGTAAAAAAAATAATAGTTTTCTTCAATTGTTTTTGACCAATTTAAAAAGCTTCCAGGTAAAATTTTTTTTCTTGGAAAGGGCTTCAAAAAATTCAGTCATTTTTTTCCGTGACTTCATTAATTAACACTTGTTCAAATGTTTTAGGTTAAATGTCAATTTTTTCTGGAAATTAAATAACATGCATATTTCAGGACGACCCCCAAGCCGTAGACAACACCGATATCGAAGGTGTAAACATGGGAGTCTTCGCCAACCATATTGCAGTTAAAAAGTAAGATCATAAAACGGGCCAATCACAGTTTAAAGAGCAGAAATTATCATAAAAAAGTGCAGTGGCGGAGTTCGGGTGCGGGAAATAAAACGATTCGCTAAAACAGCTCGCCTCTTGTTATAATTTCATTAAGTTTCCATCTAACCCACCTTTAAATTTTAGTAAAGCTGCATTAAGTGCCAGTAACGACTTAACTTTTCTGTTCAAAATTGATTCCAAAAACTTACAAAACGCCATTATTGGTATTTTTTTGGAAAAACGCTCAGAAAGTGAAAAACTGCATAAAATTGGGGGCATGAAATAAGGTTATTTCAATTGTTCTTCACATTTAAGAGAAGAAATCAGAGAGCAAATAGAGAAGGATACCCGCAACACATCAGAACTGAAGAAGTCAACCATGCAAACTGCTGGGTTGCTGTTTTTACTTCACAGTATTATTAAAACTGCAAATAGTAGGGCCTCATTATACATTAAGTAGAATAATTTAAATTCCAAATTGTTAGCATTGCCACATAATCAGGAAACTTTTTCGGTGCAGTATTTTTTTCAATCGACAATTATGAATTAGGTTAAATAATTATTGATACTATGATTGACAGTAATATTTCATTAGTCTTATTAGTAAGAAATAAAGCTTGGTAAAACTTTTTTATTTGATTGAGGAGTGTGCCAGCTTTTACAATTGATCGCCCTGATTTTTCCGACCTCTTTTTGATTCTGCTTCAAAACTTTGCCAGTTTTCCATTTGCAAATTTTGTATCATTTTCTTGGTGAGGAGGTCAGCACTGACAATTTTTTTGATTATCAGATTATATCACTGAAAAAATTCTCGAAAATAAACTAAATCATATAGGAAAATCTGCGATGTTCTCCGGTTTGTCAAAAAAGTACTCGGTCTGCAGAAAAAGCCAAATTTGTCAGTAATTATTGGCGATTCTATAACGCATCGTTTTGTCACGCCTGCAATAAAATCGCGCTTGGCTCTTATGCTATGAACGGCTCAAAAAAAAGAAAAAGAAGAAGAAGAATTTATTCCTGCAAATTTTGCAAACAAAATCAACTATGCTTCAGTATAGTTCAACAAGAGCTTCAGTATAATTCTATTATGCGTCAGTATATTTCAGTAAGCAACCAAATACTTCCTATTTAAAACAAGAACATCCAGTTGCTAGGCAAGTAGCACAATATTCCGACCAAATTCTCAGATGTTTTTTAAATGTAGTGTCTTTTCTTGTACTTCAGGATAGAACATTGCAAAGGCGTAGAAATTTAGTGAATTAGGCATAAACGACTACAAATATTGTCTAGAAAAGATTATCTGGGAATTATCCAGCCTGAGGAGCGCTAGATAAGGAATCCAAAACTATACTTTTTTAAATACAGTTATCAATTTTAACCTAAGTTGGTAATTTTCATACAACGAACGTTACTCTATCGCTTTACCTGCTCGAAAAAAGACGAAAAATCAAAATTTTCGAATCTATTTTTCTCGACACTGGGAATTTTTTGAGAACTTTTTGCTGTCCTTTGAATCACGACTAAAAGGCTTTAAATGAAATATCATTCAACCCAGTTGGTTTGAATACGCAAAATATTTATGCTTGGCAAGTTATCCGCACTCATAAACGTTCCAAATTGAACTAAAGCAAGCTAATTGGTCATAGTAATTCCATAAGCGACTCAAAAATTAATCTAGACTTGATATTATCAGCCTAAAATGTGTACTTTGTCAATTTTTCGTATACCAAAAACTATTCGAGTCCAATTAATAGGCAGTCGGAGCATTCAGGGCTTTGCCCTGATAAGAGCAGCCTTGTTGGTCCATATAATATTTTGCGATATGCAAAATATATCCCTTTGTACTTGAAATAGTGTGTGTGGGGAAGTCGATGTTTTTCAAACACAAAATTTCACAAAAATTATTTCTTTTTTATTTTTTTGAAAATTTTATCAATTTTTTTACGCAATTAATGCTCCAAAGAAGTTAAACAGCAGTCAAAACATTCAGAGTTTTGCCCGATTTGAACAGTTTTATCTATTTTTCAGTTTTATTGTGATTCATTTATTCTTCCTAATTGCAAGGCTCACGGTCAACCTGAAAAATACACAAGACTTCTTTTGCTTTTCAACTGATTTACTATCAAGCAACTAAATGGAAACAAACTATCCGATGAAAAAGCTGAAATTGAAAAAACATTTAAGCGAGAAACTAAACAAAAATAGAAAAGAACCAGATTGGTCCATCTAGAAAACAGTACCTAAAAAATTGATTATACCGGTTATTTGAGACGCAAACATGCTGAAATTGTGTATGCCATCCGCTTGACACAAAAATCAGTTTCAAGCTGCTTCAGTACCTTTTTCGGTAGTTAGATCGCAAATTAAAAGACACATGCTTTCGCAAGTGTTAGCAATGCGAAACAAAAGTGGCATAGTTGTTCCGACTTCGAAGAAAATGGAATATTCATGCTTGGTGTGGTTTTCTTTAATCAGTAAACTTTCACCGGTCGAAATAATAAACTTCAACTAAGTTTTATATACCCCATTGAAGTTATTGACTTTTTGAAGAATCTGAGTTTGAAAAATTTCAAAATAATGTTTTTTAACAGAAAAATTCATACCCTTTAGAAGATATTGACTCCCTAAAATCAAATTGAAAAAGATATTTTACCTCTGATCTTTTTTGCAAAGTTCTGGGAGTTTGAAAATTGCCAATTTGACCATGATCTGGACTGAATTATGCGCGTTTTGGAGTCTTTATTCATAATTCTGAAAGCGTAATGCGAATAATTTATGCGTTTCAAATTATCCCGCACAACAAAATTGTTCCAAATTGAATTGAGGCAAGCTAATCGATCGTATTAAATTTGTACGACTCTTTTTACGCTTGATTTTTGATATTGTCCAAAACTTATATTTTATCAGTTTTTGATTTTTCCAAGAATCATTTCGATATAGATTAAGGAGCAGTCGGAAATTACAGGGCTTTGCCTTCATATACGAACAGTCTTGTTTCAATTTTACTGTCTTATTTCAAGTTCATCAGTTAAAATTATTATGATGATGGATAGATAGTTAAGAAGGCTCATGGGGATGTTATGGCGACCGTAAAGCGACAACTCGCATTAAAAATAAAACTCGCAATAGACAAAATACAGTGACCGGAGTAGCATCTCTCCCTACATTACACATGCTAATCATAACGCCCCGCAACGATTTTTAGCCTGATGCGACAACTCGCAATATACTCACCGCCGCAGTCGCGCCAACATGCTCCGAGCTTGCCACGAGACGGTAAGACTTTACACGAAAATTAGAGCCGGTTATCGCCGCGAAATTCTTAAATTTTAAATTCATTTAGAACTTTGGTCTGAACAAATTGTCAGTTTTCATTTTTTATCTTTTGGGTTGTCTTTTGCTTCTGAGTAATGCTTCTCAAATTTCTGAGTGAGTTTCGGCTTTTGTTAACTGAGTTTCCTTGTCTTACGAACTTTGCGCTATTATTTTAAATTCAAACCTTTTAAGTAGATTCATCACTCTGTAGAATTTTTGGGTGATTTTTGTAACTTTTGTTTGTCAAAGAAACATTTAATTTTTGTTTCAAGCGAACAATAGCAAAAATAAAAAATATCAAATGAATTTCCACTGTTCACAATAATTTTAGCAGAAAAATAACTGAAATTTTTGGGCAGTTCCACTGTTTGAAAAACCGCTTTTGTCCCACATCAGTATAACACAGTCAAAAAACAACAAACACGTACCTCCAGCTTTAGTCCCCTAGTTGTCTTCTATCCAGAAGTTCGAAAATTTTGGTCCACCTGTTTTTTTTTCATTTTTAGGTTTTTTTAATGTTTCTGTTGCATCACAGATGGTGCGAAGATCTGCTTCGCCTCTGTGTCGACGTTTGATTTCGTTTTGAAGGTGGCTGCCGAATAAAAAAAATGCAAGTAATGCTTCTCAAATTTCCGAGTAATGTTAGATTTTTGTTAACTGAGTTTGATTGTCTTACGAATTTTGTGCAATTACTTACTTTTAAAATTTTGAAATAGATTGATCACCTTTTACAATCTTTGAGTCATTTTTGTTTGTCAAACAATCATTTAATTTTCGTTTCCAGCGAAGAAATGCATAAGGTAATTTGTACACAAGAAGCACCTATCAGAGGCTACTTAAACACTGCTGTTTAGAAGACTCCAACTTAACTGAGTGTTCAAATAAGGACTATAGTAAAATGTTTCAAGTACATAATTTGCATATACACAAAGTTAAACGGAGAAAAACTCAAGAGTTTTAAAAATCTTGTAATTCTATCGAAGATCTGAAAAACCATTGAGAATGCACTAATGATGTCAAATGAGCAATTGTTTGCTGCGTTTTTCATGAATGTTTAGGTCGTTCAAATCGAATTCATTCAAAAAATTAACAAAAAAATTTTGCTTACTACATAATCTAATCATTTCTTCAGTTGAGTGATTTCTAGAATGATTAAGTTTCTTAGTGATTTCGTTAATTGTTTTTATATTTTCAATGCAATACGATTTGTGTGTCAACGTGTCAATAACTTGTGTCTAATGTCAAATTTTTGAAAGGTGGAATCTATGTGGTATTGTCAATTTCCTATTTCTGAAGTAATCGTGCGTGTTTTTTCATGGCTTACTTTGATTCATGACTCAGAATTGAAACAATTGATTGGTGAATTCTCTAGTGCTTTTGACCATTAATTTAAATATCTCTGGAGTATTTGCTCATTCTATAAAGATTGATTCTTGACAAAAAAGTCCTGATACTAATCTAAATTGGCAAAAACTTTTAAATTACTGTTCAAAGTTATTCTATCAAAAAGAACCATAGAAAAGCTAATTCTATAAAAGAAATCAAAAACTTGCGATGCCAACAGAGATGCGATTAAGTTTCATATTAATATGTTTGTGATATACGGATTTATATCAATCGTGATCAGAAAAATCAATTTTCACTTCTTGAGATTGCGTTGAAAGTATACAT